CTGGACATTTATGGTTTGATTTCTTTGTATGTATGGATCACTTGGGTTGTTACCAACATCTAAATTTCATGTCATAAACACCTCGAGTAACATATTTACTGAGAAAAATGGTGACGTGTTCAATACTTATTTTACCTACTGTAGGTATTTTCTTTCGCATTTAACATTTGCGTGTTTTCACGACTCGCGGATACTCTAAGAACGTAACCCCTGTGAAAATCAGGACTTCACTGTAGCCTGTTTTTACAAGCTACTGCTTTTTGCTCTTTTGTAACACATTTCTGATAATGTTTTATCATTTTACGCAATTTACATTGCTCTTTATTCAGCTTTTCAATCRTTTGGTTTAGGCAACCCGAACCACACAAGCTGTTGTACCATGGAACTAAGTTTGTGTTATTTAAAGAGCCAGGTCAAAGTCCTGACTTTAATCAGGGGGAAGGAAATGAAGCGAACAGCTGATGTGAGGAACCCCACCAACATTCCTGAGTTTAAGCTGTTCTGTAAGAAGGGGAATGGGTTTAAAAGCCTTCAAGCAGAAATGCAGGACATTTACCAGAAACATTTAGCAGTAAATATTGCCACATAAYGGAGAATTTACCTCACTAAACGACTGTTTATTCCTCCTTTTTTTTAATGGTTTCTTTTTATCGAGTTTATTTTCGAATGTGTTTCAAAGAGAGGTCGTCGTAGTTTTATCACCATCTACATCCTCCAGCTTTTCTCCATAAGAAAATAAAAGCGTATCTGAAGTTACCATCTCCAGGGCTCCTCTGAGGATGCCACACAGCAGGYTGGAGTAGATGAGCGTGTTGTGGTTATCCGGCAGCTCCACGAAGTCAGCCAGTGGATTGTTTTCTAAAATAAGCGAGAACTCGTCTCCCGCTGGACTCCAGTTGGTCACGCTGGGGGTAATTCCCAGGTACATCTTGAAGGCAACCTAACAGACCACACAGAGCAGTCAGGGGAGGTATAAAACACTTTTCTTCACTTTGAATTAAAACAATTTCCCAACTTATGCAATTAAATTGAAGTTTTCATAATAAAAAAAAGTGTGATTAGTCAAAACCAACATTGAGATTTTAATTGCACATGCAGGAAAGAAAAACTGAAACACTCATTAGAAAGAACAGTGCTTAAACAAGCATGAAAAAAATCAGTTTTTAAGGCCCTCAATGTTTTAATTTATAAAACCAAAAACATTCCAACAGAAAGCAAAAGCATCACTCCTTTTCTTCCACTCAGCATTTTTTCCACAATGTTTTGGTGTCTCTAAATCTGAACCCCTCCCCCCCACCCCCAGTCTTTGGGAGACGTCCACAGTCACGCTTCCCGCTTACCTTAGCGATGACATCGGCGGTTTCTCGGAAATCCTGACACCTGCCGATGTTGGACCGTGCCAAGAAGTCCTCGATCAGACGCACCCCGATGTTATAACCCCTGTGGAGCGCAGACCCAGAAAYGACAGGGCTGAACCGAACGTCAACACAAACACTCCAAACATTTCGTTTCAGACACTTGTGGCTCACGTATGAAAACATTTTTGATTGAAGAGTTCAAACCTGCAGTTTAAAGCCCACCGATCCATCCTGATCCTAACACGGCCTTTCTCTGAACAGCAGAGAGGGCGATGCGGATTTGCTACCTTCTAAGGGCAATTTAGACCCACCTAAGCCAGATTTATCTGGAGTTGCTGCACAACCAGAAAAATAAAGGGCACACAGAACAATCTGTCAACATGAAGGGATGTTCTGAAATTTTTAGGCTACAAATTTTAACTTGATGGAGAGCAATGATTTATGCACTGAATGACAGAAATTGAAGTCCTATAAAGTATATTACTGTGAGATACTACACTACATCAGTGTTTCCCAAAGTGGGGTCCCGAAAAATCAAGGTGGAGTCCTGAAAAGATTTTCTGAATTAATGACATTTTTGCCTTAGTTGTTACAAAGGAGTGAGGTTAGTG